GTCGAATCAAGTAGATTCACTGATTGTTTCTCAACCAAGTTTTGCTATGGCTGCAGCCTTAATCAGCTGAGCCTGTTGTGTCAGCCATTTGACTGCCTTTGTTCATTTAATGACCAAACCCTGAAGACAGAATAGAAAATTATATTTTTGAAGAGCGGGCTAATTAACGCTGCTTATTAGAGAGACGTCAACACGGGAATAACAAAAGAAAAGGGAAGGCTAGAGGGGGTTGGGTGGGATGCATGCTGTGACATATCAGAGGTTTTATACATGAGTTGAAATTTAGCACAAAAGGGGGTGTCAAAACTGAAAGCAAGAGAGAAGGAGTAAATTTAAAAAGCACTGGAGGTGATCGTGACACAATACTAATTCTTTGCTGAGAAACAATAAAATATGTAGTCGGTGTAAGGAAATGGCGCTGGCCTTGAGGCAAGGTGTCACTAGTCCTGACATGACAGGACTTATACAATTAGGATTTTTATTTTAAGCAGGGGCTATCGCTTAGAAACATGAAAGTACTGATGTTCATAGTGCATTTAGTCTAGTTAGTTAAGGACCCAAACATACCAATATGTAACAATTTGTTTTTGCCTCAGGAGAGGAGATTTTCATCATTAACAATTCTTCTGCTACTGTGTATCCACACAGGAGGCAAAGCTAATTTTTGTAGAGCGTCTGATTTGTGTCCAATACCATGCTGTCATGTTGGTCCGAGGAAGACTGAGCCACTTGCTCAAGCAAACAAGGCTTTGATTGACATTCAGCTTAATGTAGGAATGCAACACATGGAGGGTCTGGTAAACACGCTTTCCTTCCAATGTTGGAATAGAGTGCCTTACCGGGGTGGTTAGGTTGGGATGGCAGTGGAGGTTGTTATTAGTGGGAGAGAGAGGAAAAACAACACCTTCTTGACACAGACATAGTTGCTGATATTGCCTTGTGATTTCTCTCCAAATGAAAAAAAAAAAAAAAAAACACTTTATTTTACCATGCCTGGCAAAAAAAACATGTTTAACACTTAATATCTCCTTAAAGACACAAAAAAGCAATAAATAAAGAATGGAGGTTGGTAAATAGTGTTAAGGAGTTAGGGCCAACCCTAATCTTAGGCATGGTAATAAATAAATAAGCAAATAAATTACTGCAGAGCTTTGAAATCACATAAAACAGATCAAACAGGCAGCACAAGATCTCAAATTGGGCGCCCACTGCCCCTCAGCACACACTCAAACACACACACTTTGTCCTGTGAAGTGAGCATCTGATGCTTGGCTGCAGAAGCACTCACAGAACAGGAAGGCAGGGAAAGAGAGAGAGGACACCTTAATGTGCCTTCACCATATGCTGTTAGCTACTGATGGATGCCGCTCTCCCCAGGCACTGAAGCAACTTATCGCGTTTGCCGGTGACACTGCCGCCGCTGATAAAGTTAAAGATAAGCCATCTGTTCGTAACAGCAGCACGGCTTCACTTGCAGTGATAGGGGCGTCCAAGTGTACACTGATGCTGTGTGTTATGTCTGCCTTAATTACTGTTGCACAACATTCTTAAAGCATCTGTATGTGCATAGTATGGATAGTCACTGTGCAATTATCTGCCATGATGAGCGATTATTAAGTAAATATCAACATTGCGGTATCAAAAATAAGAGACGGGGATCGACACGCTCTGCTGACATAGTACAGTGTCGGCAGATTTTTCAGAGGCGGCTTTAAAAGTGAACACTTGGTGAATCTGTCACTCATGTGTAATTACTGTGGAATGTATGCAAAGTCACACTAACAAGCTATCAGTCACATTTCTTACTAACAACATACCCCTGCGGTAGTTGGTCTTAAAAAAAGAGGAGGAAAAAAATCAACATACAGCAACTTTAAGCTCCCTCAAGAGCTTTTGATAATGCCAGGAGGCTTTTGACACGCTTGAGAAACTCACCATTAGCGAAATGGCCCGTTACCCAGAGGGCACAGCTAAAAGAAAGAAAGCGCTAACATTAAGACCCACCACAGGAACAAGTTATGGTTGTTCTCTAATGGTTTGGGGTTATGATTGCTCACTTGCTCTCCATACAAGCATTCCTATGAGGGCCGTAAAGGCGAGATCATTTCTAAAACATATATTCTGTTACCTTTGACTTATGTATTCTCTCCTTAGAAAGAAGGAGACACCTCTGTACACAAAAATACATACTTTTAGATAATGCACATTATCAAAAAACAGATGATTCTAATTAAACAATTGTTCTTGATATTTTGAATAGTGCATAACAGCATTTTTCCAGGGCACGAGAAACCCAGATGGAGACTTGAAAGTGTTGTATTATCTGTGAATAGCATTGTTCTTGTCCTCTGAGAGATGAATAAACCAGAACCATTTCAGAAGAATCCACTCCTGAGTATTACAAAGCGACCAGTGCTTTGGATACTGTCCGGGCTGGCCTTTTATAATTTTTTTTTTTTTTTTTTTTTTTTTTTTTACCAAGCACAGATCTACTTTTAGACTTCAACAGCGTAATGGTATTTGCTTAACTGAGCAGCCAGCAATCACCCTGTTCTGTGCCAGTGTCATATCACTGATCAAGTGTGGCTCAGTTCCTGTCTGAGAGGAGGGCTGCCAGACATAATGCAATAATAACTGGTGCACAGCTTGTCTAAGAGAACCAAGGTCCTATTTCACTGCCGACGATACTGGGATGAACTCTTTGTGCTCTTTCTCTCTCATTCTCCCTCTCCTTACCAGCACTGAAGCCCTTGAGCCTCCAAGAGCATAATGAGCCAATTGTAATTCCTTGCCTATAGCTTTGTATTGAAGAGCGTATGAACAAAAAAAAAAAAATACTGGACATTTCTACTTCGAGTCAAAAGACTGGGCTTCAAGGAGTATCTAAGGCAGAAACATGCTTTTGCCTTATTATTCCATGATGGGGACAGACACAACTGCCTGTACCAAAATGTAAGGGAGAGATAAGAGAAACTCCAAGTAAAATTCAGATCTTTATCTCTTTTCTCACATCAGCAGCACAGCAGAATCTGGCTGCAAATTGACTTTAGTGTTAATTAATAGCTACTGAATGTCTGGAAATAGGAATAAAATTTGAGTTAAATGAAGAAGGCTATTCCACAGCACTTAGCGACTATGTCTGCAGTGGCCACTACTACCATATGATAAACATCTTTAAAGCATCCATTATCTAGACATTATTTAAAGCTTTCACTGTAACAGGTGGCTTTAATGCGATGTGAATTGCTGACCTTGAAAGAAGGTAAATGCATCAACTAGATGTGATATGTTAAAAATCTAACAGCTTTTAGTCTCGACAAAGAGCACTCCTCTTATCCGACATAGTGGACGTGAACCTGCACTGCTCCCCCACAGATGCCTAGTGTGATGTTTGACAGATTTCTCCCTCTCCAGCTAGGCTCACAGTAAATGTCCATCTGGCAGCTTCCCATGGGTACTTATTATTCTCAGCTAGCCAGGGGTTTTCTGTTTCCGAGCAGTCAGCCAGCGCCTGCCTCAAAGAGTTGAGAGTCGGACCAGAACTGCTTGCAGATGCTCTGCCGGGTAGCCAAACAGTGCTAGTGTAGTGGCATGGCACTGGGTTTTCAATTACACAATGAAGTGGCAGTCTGCAAAAAAACTGTACCGAAAGCCAAGTGCATCGAGCACAACTACGTATCTTAGACAAAACACCAGCGAAGTAGTAGTATCATCAAGGTTTGCCAGTTTTCACATTTGTCCAATTCACTTGCGCCACCTTGAAGATCAGATGATTGATTTTTTCCCTTATGAACAGATGCTCAGAGCCATGGGTAGTGTTGAAAGGTCCTGCTGTCCTGGTCTGAGGCCCTGTTATGGTGGATTCAATCATGCAGTTGACCTCTATCACACTCCCACAGCCCGCTGAGTGTCTCCAGAAACAGTCTGACAAAAACGTAGGATGCTACACTCGTCATGGCATTCAACAGCTAGGGTCGTTTTCACACTGGGTTCACTTGCTTCAACCTGTTCAATTGTTCCCCAGTTCATGAAGCCTGCTGGTGTGCTATCAGCCTTGTTCACTACTGATACAAACCGTGGTTTGCTTACGTAGTCCTTGTGCAGCTAAGTGTGGCTGTTTACAACTATAGCCAGGGAAAGTGATTGGTGTCATTTTGACATATGGCCAAAAAAAGAGGTAAAGGTCCACCCCTCATCAAAATCCCTTCTGTATTATTCACATTATATGGGTTCTGACGAGAGTGTGCTGCTGTTCTACTGATCTCACACCAACTGGTTGACCAAGGCACAGCCTCTTGGTGTATACCAGAGCGAATATTACCCAATTTTTAAGCAAACAGTTTGTGGATTTGGGCTAAAGTGTTGACATGAAAGTGCCTTACATCTCCGGAGCCTGCCATGAACCGACTACAAAGTGAAAAAAAAAAAAAGATTAGCAAGTCCCTGAGAGACGATTGTTAAGTTATCCCTTGAGAAAAGGACATCCAAGGCTATGTCAACATATGGACACTGTCGGTGTCCACGCTACCAGTGGTTTCATGTTGACATGTGGAGTTGGGAACAGCGGAAGGGTTCACAGCTTAACATATGAGATATTTCCACACACCCACCACAGTGTGGAAACAGACACCATCCGTGCTATGCTTGTTTAAGTCAACACTGTCGGCGTATTCTTTGAACAATCTGGGCCATTTGATTCTCATTTGAATAAAATTCAAATTGAAGGCACAGAGCACACAATCGGCTTGCCAGTAAAAAAAAAAAAAAAAAACTACCATTGTGTATTCCCATGCACACATGTGGGAAAATGGGATGGGTGAGGACTGCAGAGCATTGCATACCTTACTGAGCAAACAGCAGCATCTTGGTGCTGCTCTCCCCCCCTCACCCACCATCTAACCCTCCTCCATATTTATGCATTCACATCACTCTCAAACACACATGACAACTCAAACATGACTCTCGCTCTTGAGAACGGTGCCATGAAAAATGAGTCTTACCTAGTGTAGAGTACTTGGTCACATCTGTAAGCGGGCCATTGGGGAAAAGTGGGAGCAGGGGAAAGGGGGAGAAAGAGAGAAGAGAAACGTCAGCAAATTACAATGTACAGCAAGCTAAACTTCAATGCAGGCTGAGGCTGTCACTAGCTCCTCTGAAAAATGATGGTGTCCCAGCATTCTACCGACTGGGGGTTAAGAATAGTCCCTGTCAAGAGGGGGACATCATTTATTAATCGAGGGACATGAAACGTCTGAGATAGTTTCCCCTGAGGATCCAAAGTTGGCACAACTTGCATTAATATTTGTCAGTGATTCAAGATTTTGAGGGTGGAGGCAGAGAGGATGTAAGCACAAACCTAATCTATTACCAACATTTTTTTTTTTTTTTGCACCAGTGTAACATAACCAAACAAATGTAATCACACAGACATGCACTTTGGTGTTCCCCTCTCCCCATATGTCTGACTTAGTAGCCCAAAGAAATCTCTCCCTTTTTGCGCTTCGACCTTTGCTACATTTCCCCAAGCTTGTCGGTTTGACAGCCAACATCCGAGGCTCCAACAGCATAATAAAATGGCAGTCCCGCACTACCTGCAAAGACCTTAGGGTGGCCCCGGAACAAACAATGAACCCGTATGCTTAAAATAAAAAGCAACATTTAGCCACATTTTCACCATGTCTCTGCCTGACAGTCATATCTCCAAAGATTTTAGAAAGGCACAGACCTGCACTCTCCTCCACTTTCCTGTACCAACTCTGTGGCAGCTAGAGAAATATATACTGGATTTCCATTACCGCACACTTTTTTTTACAATTAAAGTGGTCCCTCTACGAATGTACTCTTCTAAAGTACAGTTTTGCTTTCTTGTAAATGTGCAATAAAACAAGGAAATGGAGTGAGCTGACAATAACTGGGTGTAGTGTGAGGGAAATGGTAGACTCAGGACTAAATCTGAGTTGCAATTGCTTACCGGTGCAGTCTAGTTGTGTTGCTAAGCAGAATTTGCCAGTAATATGATTTATCACCAATGATGTCTATCCCCCTGCATTCATTTACATTTTTGGTGTGCATGCAACAAATCCCAAAGGGATCAACGATGGAGGGTGGGGTGTGATTACAATATCTGTTTTGCTCGTGAGAACAAATCTATTTTCAGGGAGGTGGGGGGGCCCGACTGGGGTTCAATCTCAGGGACGCTCATTACCATTCTGTCTGACACACATTCACACTTGCTGCTACTGTTGTTGCTAAACAGAGAGCTCAGCTGAGGACCTTGAAGCTTCATGCCGGGAAAATTGGACCCAGGGGAGGGGGGTGGCAGGGACTGATGTCAGACTTCAAGAGCCACTAGAAGCACCTGGGGTTTCAATGACATTAGCATCACTGTTGTTTGGTAGAGAGAGACTGAGAGACCAAGACACTTGAAGGGACGGCAATGAAAGACAATAATAAAAATGGAGAGCAGGCGAGTGCTATGTGGCAGAATTTTAAATGTGATACATTCTGGCATGGAGTGTACAGAGCACCAAGGTTGATGTAAAATTAAAAGTGTGGAGAATCAAACCAAAAATAGAGGCTTTTTTGCAATGCAGTGGAGATTATTGATTTTTCCTCAGCCCTATGGTGGAAATTTGGCAGCCTGGCCAATCAAAAGCAGTGGAGGTAGCGTGGGCCTAAGTGGATTAGACTAGTGGGGATGGCGGAGGGGGAATCTAGAGGGAGAAACCAAAGCTCTGGTGGCTTCAATAAACCCACTCTGTGAACCAGGAAAAAGATGGAAGACTAAGACACTTTTTTCACCCTCTCTCACCCTCCTGTTTTAAGCAGATAAGCTGCTTCCAGGGTCTTAGTTATGCTGTGTAGAACCCACAACACGATATGGAAACTTTTGACAAGGCAAAGAAAAGCCGAGAAGTCCGCTCCTCGTGTTGTCTTTTCTATATTGACAAGAGGGATTTGGGGATGTTTGGAGTGGTCAGTGCTGGGGGGGAATTACAAAAAGCCTCTGTGATACAACATAGTGAGCATATCAGTGCTCAGACATGGGTTTTAGTGAAGACATGGACTCAATTTTGGGAAGTTTTGCTTTGGCTAGCCGTTGGAATAAGGCAGAAATGGCCATGCCAAGATGAGTAACTGGCAACCACACCATGAACCCTTTTGCTTCCAGATTAAAGGGTTTTTTTCTCTTGTATGTGATGTGACAATTTTATTAGGCAGTTTTCCCTTGTTATTGCCATTCCTCGCCATAATATCTCATGCCAGAATTGGTTGGGGGGGCTGAACACTGGAAGGGTTTTGTAGTGCATAGGACTTTAAAAATATATCACAAGCTTCTTATGTATAGCCCCATTTACAATATGAAATAAGAGTTCATAAAGACACTATACTTAAGGGGAGTCTCGCCCCAATTAAGAAATGCATGTTTTTCCTCTTACCTGTCATGCTTTTTATCAATCTAGATTGTTTTGGTGATTTGCTGGGTATTGGAGATATCGGCTGTAGAGATGTCTGCCTTTACATGAATATAATGGCACTTAGCTCAAAGGGCAAACAGCAGTGTTTCTTTCCAGAAATCATGACCCGGTTTCTCAAGATAATCCACAGACCTTGTAGTGAGCGGTTTCATTTAGTTTTCTTTCTACCCAAGTAATCCCAACCAAAGGAAAGAGGGAAGCGTGCATCTTCTGCTAGCTCACCTAGCACCGCTGAGCTAGCTAAAATTACAGCTGCTGAGGAGGAGCCATTAATGTTAACATCTTGTGCCGTAACCAACATGAGCCTCTCATCCATGAGTAGATGTACGCTTCCTTCTGCGAGGTGGTACATTTGGCTTGTTTGTTAGTTTGGTAGAAAGTAAATAGTTTTTACATTAAACTGCTGTTGTATTTAAAAGAAGGCAGACATCTTTATGGCCAATATCTCCAACAATGGCAACTCACACCAAAACCTAACTGATAAATAGCACTATAGGTGAGAGCAAAAATATGTATTTTTGATTTTGGTGTGAACTGTTCCTTTAGAATATGTTACCACAATAACAGTGTACATATTCATTGCTACCCAGGTAGTCACATCTTGCCCAGCAGGTGAACTTAAATGATGGTTTATCTAACTAAGAATTCATGGAGCCTATAATTAAAACTGTCTGCAGATCATCTTATTAGATGTATCAACTACACATATGGCATTTACAGTGTGCTCACGTCTTTCCACCATAAAGATACTGATGTATAAGAAAACACGGCGACAGACATTACACTTTGTCCAGAAATGTGGATTAAACTTCGAGAGACATCATCTGCCCTTGGTGGGATATTTGCGGTGCTGTGTATTCAGTCCTCTGAGACTTTGCGGTTCTTGGACAAGGACATCAGTTTCCTCAGGGGAGATTCTTTTTGACACAGCCGGTCTTGACTTTCCTCATTCATCACATAACAGTCAGTGCACCACAGCGGGGACAACACAGCATTTTAAGGGAGTCGGAGGAGCTGGTTTGTTTGGTCACTGACAGCCACACCCACTGATAGGTAAAAATGATCCAATTTGTACCGCTGCTGTAACTGTTTTTACTTAAATATAAGATCTCTATGTATTAACTGTGATCTTCATGAGCGCTACAAATAATAAGATGATTCCAGTGTCGGGGACTACCCTCATAGTTTGCAGGTGTTCTATGTAGTGATCACAAATCATGCTTTATCTAATAATTACCAGAGGAAATAATTCACCATCTTTTGATCTGGACTTAAATGTCCATAAAGATTATGACTTTTATCGCCCATTACACAAATGACCACAATGTATCTGTGATGGTTTGATGGGGCTGTTAATCATCCCTAGTGGCTCAATTCGTCTTCGCCAGCCACAGGGAATTCTGTCAAAACCTTTCTCCCCCATATTCCCTTATCCACTACCCTCACTCACCCCTCTGATTTCCAACTCCTCAGAGATTGAGGACTGAAGGTGATCGGAGTAGCAGAAAATTTAGCTCTGAGGTCAGTCAAGGAAAAAGAGAAAGCTGTATTACTCTGCATTTGATAAGTCTCTTAAGTAGCTCTTATCTTTTCTTTCTAAATATCGTTTCCCCTCGTTATCTACAAGTATCTTTTGCCAGGCACTTCTTCTCTGTTTTAATAGGGAAATGTACTGTTAAATGTGACATTTATGGTTCGTAGTGTTATCCTAAGCATGCATATTTCAATGCTATTAAAGACTTGATGTGTAAGTGCACTTCCAGCCCACATACGGTATACTGGTATTGAATACCTTGTAAATGTTTGAATAGAAGTATACTAAGCCCCCCCCCCTGTAAAAATAATGACCATGACCTTAACTTTGCTACCGTATGGTATTAAATAAATCCTACCACTTCTTTGTAAGGTGTGGGGAGGGGGGCAAAAAAGCCAAACACAGAGATCAGTTCAATAAATGATGGAGCGGCTTACATTGAAGATGGCACAAGCTGAAAACAATCATTACTCTTACTATACTACACATGCACTCAAGCGAGCCATTGCAACGGGAATCTAATCTCTTTCCGCTAGTTCTACAGTGCTCTTTACAGATTAAGTTAATCAGTGGGTCGGCCATTTTTCTCTCAGTGGCACATGGAAACATGTCAATGAAGGCACAAACACACACACAGAAAGGGAGAAAGAGAGAGCGCGAGAGTTGTATCCCTGAAATGGCTGCAGGACTGAGTGGCCGCTAATTGGAAATCAAAAGCAATGGAGCTGGAAGGCAGCCCGAGAAGGAACAGTGGAAACTCCAGCGCCTGTTGTCGGTCAATTTAGACCGTGACGAGAAAGGCCCCGTTCCTTGTGTCACCATTTAACCTATTCACCAGTGTGGAATGGCAACAGCTGTTTTTTTACAGTAGCACATAATGGGGCAAAATGGCTCTTGCTGGCCAAGCTCCAGCTCGCAGCGAAAAGGCCTTAATGTAGGAAGAGAAGGGAGAAGGTGTGAAGCAGACATCGCAGGAGAGAGAACAGTTCTGCCATGTTATCAATGATACTGA